TACACGAACCAGCCGACTCTTAAGTGTCATGTGTTTTTTTTTTTTGTTTTTTTTTTTTTTTTTTTTTTTTTTTTTTTTTTTTTTTTTTTTTTTAGGAGGTTGGGGATTTTTATATTTCTTTACTTTTTTTTGCATACAATAATATTCGCGAAGCTTAACAGAAATTTTTCTATTGTCCTCGACGCAACGTTGAGCTTGAAAAAAAAAACGAAAGCAGCTAACACTCGAATTTTGAACTTTGCCGTGAGTATTTTGCTCTTGCGCAAAGTGTGTATTTGTGTGTGTGCGTGTTTGTGATGTATCTATGTGCGATGCGGAATTGAAGCAACGACGATTCGCAGTCGATCTTTTCAGCTTTGGTTTCTTTGAGCGCCATCTAAATCACCTGTGAAAGGACGAAGGGAAGAGGGGGGCTGGCTCCGCATTTCATAGAGCCAAAGGGCATACGGGGGGGGCAACATACTCGTACGAGAGGATGACTGAACAACAAGTAACAGACATTTTGGAAATTTTGACATGAAAAAATTGCTATACGACGACGACGACGACGACAACGTCTTTACGCGTCCTCCTCTTCCTCGTCATCGTCTACTCCAACACATTTGGGACACACCGGCTGTCCCTCCATGGCATAGAAGGACTTTCCGGAAACCGGCTTCTTGCAATCCTGCAATTGTTAGACTTTAGAACGTCTGAAGTAGCGTTTTTTGTGTGCTAATTTTTTCCGTAGTTTTTGGAAATTTTAAGATTACACACAAGTAAATAAAAAAAAAAACAAAAAAACAGAAATTCGACGATCCTGAAATTTGCTGAAAAAAGAAACTTAGCGTTGGAGATCGGCGAGTCTTTCCAACTCGGCACCTACCCTGCAGACGAAGCAGTCCGGATGCCACTGGCTATTAAGCGCGGATATATAATTCTCCATAATGGCTCGATTGCAACCGCCGCATTTTGGGGCGAACATATCAAAATAATCCTCGCGGCAATACGGCTTGCCGTCCCGTTCGTGGAAGCCTTCCTCGCCGAACTGCTTGCCACACTGGGCGCAGAAGAAGTGCTCCGTGTGCCAAGTCTTTTCCAGAGCCGTCACGCATTTCTGAAAAAAAAAAAAAAAAAAAAAAACCCAATTCTTTTGCATCTGCGAATAAATACATAATCAATATACCCAGAAAAAGAGTACAAGTCGAACAGAAATTTAATTGAAATGAAAACTTCAAGTTAATGATATTTCTCACTGAAAAAAAAAAAAAAAACAGAAGAGAGAAGACACAAATAGTTTATTTGTCATTCACATGTATATGTTTTTGTTGACTTATACTCTTTTCCCTCAAAGTCAACGAGGACGAACACTTCGGAGGACCCTTACATCGAGAATGGGTCCGTTGCAATAAGCGCAACGAGGCGAGAACAAGTTATGATAGTCCGTCTCGCAGTAAGGGTGGCCCTCCCGCTCGAAGAAATTCCGCGTGCCAAGCTCCTGGTTGCAGTGGGTGCACGTGAAGTGTTCCGGATGCCACGTCTTGCCCAAAGCCGTGATCACCTGTGTAGCAACAACGAGTCAAAGAAAAAAGATATCTCTAAGACGTTTTTCTTTAAGATTCTCAGAAGTCAATCAGATGACAAGCAGCTGACGCAGATTACTACCTGTCCCACGATGGGTTTCTCGCAGGCACTGCAGCATCCCTTTTGCGTTGTGTTGACACCTTGGCGACTCATGTCGGCGTGAAGGTTGCCGAGCATAGAATCTAACTGATTCTGTTTGATTGGCTGGTTCTCTCCCGACTGATACAGATGAGTCGTATGAGTCTCGGTAATATGGACGCGAGTCTGCGTGCCCTCGGCACCGGGCAGCGGGCTCTGCGAGCTCTTGGTGGCCTTGTTGGGCTTCGCGTACGGAGAATCGGTCACCGTCTGATGCTGATGAGTGCCGCTGTTGATCTGTAACAACACGCGGAACGTAGGATCGAGTGTGCAAATCTAAGTGGCAACTCTCTCTGCCCAAGAAACGGAGGCTAAGAAACGCTTCGATTCCCTCTTGTTAAAATAAAAATAAAAAATTTAAAAAATATTCTCTTTTTCTGTAATGTTTACAATCCTAGATTACTGAAGGATAGTAAACATCACAGAAGAAAAGAGCAGTAAAAAAAAAATAATATTCTCGGCTCTTCAAGTTCGACCGGTTTCAAGTTCTTGGGAAACCGAAAATTACACTTGTCACTGACTGAAGTCCTCAAACGATGGTAATGGTTCCTCGCGAAATTCAAATGAGCGGTGTATGTAGGTGTGCACGTGTGTACGTTTATGTGCGTGTATGTGTGTGTACGTGCGAAAAGTATGTCAGGGTGTATGGGAGAAATTTGTTCAAGGTCGGGAACTGACAGGTAAGATGAAAGAGAAGTCGGGTCGGGAGAAGTCAAGGCGCGAATGAAGTTTGAATGAAGAGGAATATCCAAAAGGAAGACCCACGAAAGTAGATGTAGACAAGTGTAGAGAAGATGTCGATCGCTACGGGCGAGCTTGCAGACTGGCCGAAAGCTCCGGCTGTTTAGCGGATCATCTCGCTGGGTGCCCCACCTTCGTAACTTCTCTCGTTTTCTTCGTCCTCCCCGCGCGCGCGTGTGGAAAATCGGCGATACGGAAGAAAAGGAGAGAAACAGTAACGCCGCCGAGGAATCGCGGCGGCGGCGGCGGCGGCGACGACGATCTTCTTCGTTCCGCACCGTGTTGGCGAGAGGCGGTTATTTTCGTAACGCGAAGAGCCAAGAATGGGCAGGAGTGTGGATTTAAGGTTCCGGTGTTTTCCGATATCTGCGATAATTCTCGTCGCGCGACGTACAGACGACAACAATCTTGTATTTGTTGTTTCATCAACATATGTGCGTATACACATATGTAGAATCTCTCTCTCAAAATCGTTGGTGGTATTTTAAAATGAACAGGATATGGCGCAATATGTGTTGTTACGTGAGTTAGACGATGTACCTTGAATTCGGAAAGCGAAGCCATTAGGTCGTCCAGCTCCTTGGTAGCGTTACTCGCGGTATGACCGTTAGGATAGCTTCTCTGAACCTCACTTCGGTTAAGCGAGCCGTGCTGGCTGGAGGGATAACCGTCATAGACCGGCTGTATCTCCGTGGACGTCTCCTGTATGGTGACTCTCACCTTTCCGTCGGCTGGGTAGTCTCTGTTTGAGGGACAACTGTACGTTTTTACCGAGTGAATTACCTCAGCGAAATTAAAAACTTATTCATCTTTCTTTCGTTTTTTTGAATCAGTTTCAACGTTTTGCTTGACGTAAAAACGAATCCTAAAAGTTATCGAGAGCGATAGACAAGCACATTTGGAAGCTTACACTCGCACTTGTTACAGTTTTTACACGCTGCTTATGGATTAATATGCGGCACACATATACAGAAAGCTCACCCGTTAGGCACGGCGGTGCTTAGTTCTTCGAGTAACGAATCGACAGTTGGTCGAGAGGTCGACATACTACTTGGGGAACGGAGCGTAGGACTGGTCGCACCCCCGTTTATTCCTGCGGCGGACACGCGGCTGTCTATAATCATCAAGACATCATTAACTCTCCGTCTGCGATCTTCGTCGAGATCTTGTTCCCGAGAGTATCTTTATTTCTTCTGTTTGTAACTGAGAAAACTTGTTTTAGCGCTCGAGTTGAAAATATCGTCGAAGAAATTTGAAGAGAAGCAGAGATTGACCAGAGATTGACTTGCTGAAAGTATACATGGGAAAAGAAATAAACAAAAACAACATTTAAACAAAAGGCGAACCTCTATCTTGGTAGTGGGCGTTATAGCGCGCGTTGCTGAGGTCTTGCAGAAGGGTGTCCAGTTCGGAAAGATTATTATTGAGGGAGGGCATTTTGCTCCCGGTGCCGGCCTGAGGGTAGGACGCGCTTCCGGTTTTACTGATGGTCTCTTCTATCGCCTCGCGGTTTTGATAAGTAGGCTACAACATTTAGGAAAGCCGCTTATAGTTAATTACGTTAACAATAATTAAATTAGTTCCGCAAGCTCTCCTTTGTAAAAATGTTATTACACAATAATCTCGTCTTCTCGTCAATTTCGCAAGCATTTTGAAATTTTTTTTTTTCTGAAAAGGAAAATTCAACAAAGATTTAATTTTTATTAATTGAATTTTTATATTATTCTACATATCGATTTGTACATGCTGCGTCGATTTCAGATCGTAAGAAACAATGTAACGCAATGTGGTTACATAAATATGATATTTAAGGAACGGACAAATCGCGCGAAAGCGGTTAGAAAAAAAAATTAACGCTCGGGTTTTTTTCCGGATGAATGGTCCGCGGTGACTCGCGAACAACAGCTGCGCGATTTTATGCGTCCCCCCCCCCCTCCCAAACGCTTTTGGCTTGTTAAGCGACAAAAAGTGATGATCTGCCAAGTTTCCGCAAAGTGCACATTATTATTTAGAAACATGATGTCACGAGGAATCATTATGCGTCGCGTGTGAAACGTTCGTCGCTTCAGAACAACGGAAGACGGAAGACGCGCGTTTTTAATACGACCATCGCAATTTCAGCCGCAAAATATCCCAAAAAAAATACGATACACCAAAAAAATTTTATTCTTGTTTTGACGATATCCCACTTATTTTAAGTATATTTTATATTAAAAAAGGCGCCAAGAAGAGTTTCTTATTTTAAGAGGAAAATCCTCTAAATAGTAATATTGTTAAGAATATATACTGATTAGAATATAAAAATCTCTCTATAGAAAAACATATATATATCTCACTATATATATTAATATTAAGAATATATTCTTAATTTCAGAAGAATATCATCCAAAATCTTTAAGATTTTTTAAGTATAAAATCTTCTACTTACAAGAATATAATTTTTTCGGTGTAGCGATGGCGCGCGTTCCTTTTTTTTTCCGCGGAAAATTAATAAATGTTCAAAAATACGCAAAGTGATGTGCGAAATAAATATTACGTACTTACACACATCTCTTCTCGCAAGTATATTCACGTCGAAACTTGTTCCAATTACGAAATCAATGTCTCGCACGACATCGCGTCTTGTTTACCGAAATTAAATTTAATGCTGCTTTTGACGTCAACGTTAATCGATGGCCGGGGCGTCGCAACAACTCCGCTCGTAATCGCAAATTGAAAACCTCTCAAAACAAGAGTCTTCGAATGAGCGAGGAATCGGATAATAGCGCGTTGCAAACGTAAAAAATCAGAATGATACTCTTTCAAAACAACATCCAAAAATAATAGACGAATAGCAGCCGAATTTCTGGAAGGCAAATAGAAGCGGTCGGATTTATTGTCAAATTTTCTCTCTCTCTCTCTTTCTCACGCGACCATTTTTTTTTTTTTCCTGCAATAAAACAGTATCGCGGAGCATCCTGCTGGATGGAAACTAGGTTATACGCTGAGTTGTCGGCCTAAAAATATCCTGCGGTAAACCAGTGGTAACGTGTCAGCAAGACATATCGGCGCTTAGCGGCAAATTTCGATGGCGACATCACTATTAACCGCGAAGAAGTACTATACTACTTGTATCCTCGCGTGCAACCCCTTACGCGTTTAGTTTAACCCTTCGGAGAACACACTGGGTCAATTTGACCCTGCACGTCGACTTTGATCAAAAAATATTTTGCTTCAATTTTGCTTTTTTGTAACATATTTTTTTTACAATGTTAATAATGTTAACGACACTTTAAAACCTTTATAGGCATATTCCAAACTGTTCAAAATATATCCGAAAATTTTTTCAAGCCAATCGGATAAGTGCGTTTTAAATGGTAGCATCTCAAAAAGTGGACAGGGTCAAATTGACCCAGATTGTTCTTCTTGATTGAAAAAATAGGTGTGTTCCCCGAGGGTTAAAGCCCACCCCCGCCCAGTCGCGCCAGTTTATAGCGCGATAATTTATTTCTTCGTAAATAAATTTTTTTTTAACACGATTCAACCATCAATTTTTAGTCTCAATTTGATCGAAACTTTTTGCGATGTTGTGATTTTGAAAAATTCGCTTCGTTTTCCACTCTCGTTTAATTTTCGATTAAATTTTGTGATCACTCGAATAATGACAAATATTCTCATTGCGCACATTTTTTTTCTTTGACAAATTATAACACGTCCTCACACCGAAAAAATTATATTCTTGTTTTGAGGATATCCCACTTACTTTGAGTATATTTTATACTAAAATAGGCGCCAAGAAGAGTTTCTTATTTTAAGAGGAAAATCATCTAAATAGTAATATTGATAAGAATATATACTGATTAGAATATAAAAGGCCTCTATAGAAAAACATATACAAGGTGTCCCAGAATTGCCGTACAATCTCTCGTAGGCAGGTAAAAGGAGTAAAACTGAGTCGAATAGTCCTGAACCATTTTTTTCTATTATTTATAATAAAGGAGTAATTATTGAGTAAATCAGGCCAATCAGCGCAGACCTTTAGCCAGGCACACGTCAGTGAGCGCTCACACACACCAGGCGCGCGGCTCACTGACGTGCGTCTGGTTAAAGGTCTGCGCTGATTGGCCTGATTTACTCAATAATTACTCATTTATTATAAATAATAGAAAAAAATGGTTCAGGACTATTCGGCTCAATTTTACTCCTTCTACCTGCCTACGAGCGATTGTACGGCAATTCTGGGACACCCTGTATATCTCACTATCGAAAAAGACTATATTCTTAAATAAAGAATATATTCTTAATTTCAGAAGAATATCATCTAAAATATTTAAGAAGATTTTTTAAGTATAAAATCTTCTACTTAAGAGAATATAATTTTTTCGGTGCAAGTTTTTCAGCATTTTCTCCGTCAAATAAGACAGAAGTCGTTTTATTTATGTAATTGAGAATTTTATTAGTCGGACACACATCTTGCGCGTATTTCGCATTCACGTAGACTCTCAATTCGTCGCGCTCACGTGCTCGTGTTGTTGTTATAGCATCTCGACGGAGAGTTTACGCAACGGGAGCTCGCAGCTGCACAAACGGTACGTCTGGAAATCCGCGCGCACAAAGCTAAATCGGTGCGTGAAAGGGAAAGCTTTTTAATAGCCGCGACCTTCGGTGCGCCGACTTTGGCACTGGACGGTAATTCGGTAAAAAAAAAAAAAAAAAAAAACATTATTACATCGTTGACACTTCGCGTAGCCGGAAACGTTAATTGATATCGCGTTTTAAAAACAATATCGCGCTACAAACAATATACGGGAGTCGAAAATTAATTTGCTCGCAACACAGTTGCGAAAGAGAGAGGTGAAAAGTTGTCTGTATGGGGTGCGCGTTCAGACAACTCAACGGTTGATAGATCATCACTTACGATAGGACTATTCTTCAAAATCTGATGCGGTTCCAAAAGTATGATCAGAAGTGATTATCTCTCAACCACGTTGTGCAACTGTTGAGTTGTCTGAACGCACCTTAATAAAATTGCAACTTATAATTACGAACAACCAAGACGGTGACATTCACCCAGTTAGAGTTTCGTGAAAATAGATATCTCGGGCGCGCGCAAATTCCGATCGCGCGCGCGCGCGATCGTGATCCACATCCGAAAATGACGCGACCGCGCCGCAAAACCCGATGACAGATCGATGCCATAAAGACACGTTCCGCGAAGAGTAATGCCGAACGACGCGATTTATTGAACACGGGAGAGGACAGCTGACGGCAGTGGCGGTCCTGACTGTCGTGGCTCGTGAAATATATCGGGTTTAATTCTCAGAGAATACGCGCGCGTTTCTGCCTTTACTTCGCGCGTTACCGAACTTTGTGCGCGAAATCGTTGAGCGCGATAGAGAGAAGAGATAAATTCACTTGGTCATTGTTGAACGACAAAACGCGCCAATATAATTCTTCTTCTTCGTGATTGCAATTCCGAACGTCGTGACCTCAATTAAGAATTCGCGACGTGGCGTAACAAAACACTTAAATGATTTATACAGAATTTATTTAACAAATTCCGTACATGTATAAAAAATAGAAATGTATAAAAATATTTTTAATATAACATGACGAAGTGATTCTTCCGGTTCCAATGTGGTTTTTTTTTTCAAAAAATTAATGATAATTATAATGGCGTTTTTCGAACAATTTGCAGGATTGCTTTTTTTTCAGAAAAAATTTTTTTTACAGAAAAATCGACATCGTACGCGACCAGTGCGCATTGCTCGCGGTCGCGTGTATATGCGCGATCAAGTTGTAAATTTTCACGTGCAACCACCGACGTCGAGAAACATGAATAATAGAGATCGCGTTTTCCTAGACTTAGTCTCGGATCAATAAAACCGGCAGGGAAACGTAACAGGTGTTACTCGCGAAACACCCGGAAACGCGCGCGACAAACGCACTTTCTGTTACAACACAAGCCTCTTTGATGTAGTCTGTGGAAAATGTTCTTCGAGTATGTAAACCACGTTGCTATATGCAAGAAACGTATTTCTAGCTTTTATATCTATAGACACCGCGCACGTTTTACATCCTATCGATCTTCACTCTCTCTCTCTCTCTCTGCGATCGTATGAGAACGCGACGAACATTTTCGCTCAAATATCTATTAGAGTTTATTTAATGACTTTGCACGCGCACATATTGCAAAATACAGATCGAGCGCAAAATCATTTTTGTGTGTACTTTAAGCGCGCATTTTTTTTTTGCGTATGTCGTCTCGATCTCCAGACAAAATAAAGAATACGAAATTAACTCGAGAGACTCGAGCTTTCGATTTTTAAACACTCGATTCGCGTGTACTGTGCGAATACACACGTTGCGACTTCAGTGATGCTTCGGAGCAGTCAATTTTAGACACGATATTGATTCTAATTTTGGGCCACCGCCGTTGCGTCACAGTTATTTCCGTCAGTGGGTTTATGATTCTGAAACTTTTTTTTTTTTTTTTTTTTTTTCAAAATAACCGATAATTAATGTAAGAAAACTGGATAAGATTGGAAGAGAACTATAAATTACTATAACCGAGAATTTTAGTCTTACAGTTAATGCAAATTGTGTGTTGACTTAAGTATTTTTTTTGTGAACAACTTTGCGTCTAAACACGAATTCAACCGTGCTCGTACACTGAAAAAAAAACGTTGTTGAAGTAACAAAAGTAGTATTTGATTCAACTATATGCAGCGGTCACGGGCTGTCAATGAAAATATTGATTAATGTAAGAAGATATCATGTTTCAATAGATATAATAATTAGATTATACCGAGAGACAATTTATAGTTGTTTTAACAAAATTATAATTTGTTTTAAATACAGGTAACTTTGAATGTACAACACAATAGGACAACACAATATTTTGTCTGCTTATAAAAATAAGCAGTTTGATTAGATGAAATACTTGGTACAAAGAAATTCAGATTATATTCAATTGAAGTAAATGAGAATTGCCTATTTCATCTTTTTTAACAGTATCTTTTATTTGAAATTATCACAACTTATGTTTGACAAAACAATTCATGGTTTAGTGAATTAAATATGTTCATTACCGATATTGTTAATTCAACTTATACGAATTTGTTATCTTTATTACCACGTGCTTGAATTAAAAAAACAAGATATTTCAGATAACAAACTGAAACTCAACTAAACGCATTTGGTTGAGTTAATAGTATTTTTTTCTCAGTGTATGTACGCTCATATATTGACTCGTGTATATGCTTGACAACATATGCGCGATTGGAAGAATTTTTAAGTACTTAAAAAAATTTAAATCTTAATAAACAAAATCAGTGTCGTACACACAAATTAAACAATATTGAAAATGTTAAAAATTATACATTTGTAAAATAAAGTTATGATAATTGTTTCCTCAAATTGATGTGTAAGATATTTTCTTTTTACATAAAAAAAAACTATTTTAAAGATATAGGCAAATTTATTAGAATTAACAATTTCTGCAATTTTATAAATTTGTTTTTTAAAACGTGTAACGTTATTAATCCGTTCATAATCTCGAACTGCGAGATAACAGATGTCGATGAGACATTATATCTCGTCAGACATATCGTATCGACAATTATCCATAGACGAAGGAGTTTATTTACGGATTTATATTCCTTGTGTCATGCTTTTGCGACCATGACGACAGATTGCTCTATTTCGAGACGTTTTGTGAACTGGAATCGCAAAACACGTGTTGATGCCAAAACGTTAATTCTGAACAAACCCCGAATAATTTCTATACGGTAAAATATGTTAAACTCACGAACATAAAAAACAAATAACGCACGAAATAAATATATTTGATACTTTAATAGTTCTTTGCGAAAGTGTGAGTTTTTCTGATTATTATCGTAAAAACAACTAATTTTTTTAAATATCTTTTTATTTTATAATATAATATTCGAAATATAAAGATATATACGTCGAGTATTTCTGGCGCTAATGTCAATTTGGTGCGGTATGATTTGCGTTTTTATGGAACGCGCATCATCGCGACGTTTAAAATCGATCGATCCCGAACGAGGAGACTTCACTTGCACCTTGGCTCCATCTGGCAATTCACGTGAAACTTTAGCGAAGTTCACATCGTTTTGAATTTTGCCTCGTCGATAAATTATCATAAACGTTCCGTTGCGCGCATTTCATTTTATTCAAATCGTTTTCTCAGATCACATTTTGACGAAATAATATATGTCTAATTTTATTTGTTACATAAACAAACATTTCCTTACGCAATTTACACAAATATTGTTGTTGAGTTGCGCAAAGTTGGTACCCTACTATTTTCTTAATATATTTCATTGCGACGATTCGACTCGACATTTGTGCGAAATCTAATTTTAGATCTTAAAACTAATTATCCAAATAGGCGCGTCGTTGCAGGCCAATTAGTGTGTGTTCCAGTTTTTTTTTTGAGAAAGAAGAACGACTTACCGATTGCGGCGGCAGTGGTGAAGTTCGACTGTCGTAGGATCTGTACGCGTTAACCGTGTGGGTGCGTGCTCCGTTCAGCGATCCGTAACCGGGTGTCGCATTGCCGCCGATGTGACTTCCTTCCGACGACACGGTGTTCTGCAAGTCCGCCAGCAGCGCGTCTGAAAGACACGTCGAAAAATTCCATTCAATCGGTTTGTTGTTCCTCATACGCAACTCTCTCGACGAAACGTTTAAACAACGCGAATCGGGAGAATTTTAATTTTCTTATGAACAAAGAACTTGACAATTCGAGTTGCACCAAAATTAATTTTATCACGTGTCAGAAGATGTTGGCAAATTAGTTTATGCGGTAGCGATGTGATTTCACTTTTTTTTTTGTGTGTTTTAAACGCAACAAGTTTTTAGCGAGACAGCAATTGTTGCGCGAAATAGAAAATCACACATATCTCGCGCAAATATATAAGTCGCTGTGTGTATTATTCAATTTTGTGCTGGAGTGTGCGTAAAAAAAAAGAAGATGTCACGACATTGTTTCACGATGACGCCATCGTGACTGTCGCGTGTCCTTGGGACAAGCGCGTGATTGTCGCAACACACGTTCGCAATTTATTTATTGTCAAGAAAATTTGCCGTTTTCACCGGCAAGGAATATCATCGGCGAAACAACATCGAAGAAACAAAAATGCAAATTTAAAAAACACTTTTGTTTCCACGACGCAATTACACAAAGTTTTTTTTTTTTCATGTAAACTCGACAGAGTCCGGTTCGTCTATTTCGGCATCCGCGATAAGAGAGAAATGTGCATTTACCGAGAGTAACGAGGTTACTGGTCGCTTTCTCGTGATTGTACACCTGGTACAGGTTCTCCTCTTCGGATACTTGCGCGCACCGCGTCGTCTCCATCGCCCGGTAAACACGACACACCCACTATTTCAGGAACGTTGAACCCCGCGAGAGACGGGTGCGGGTTTCGAGCCGAGAGTTTCGGGTTCGCAAAATTGCGCGACGCCCGCGGAGAAAATTTCACAATCGACGAACGAAATCCGCGAACGGCTTCAGGCGAAGGACGATTTTTTGATGACGATCGCTCCTTTCCGAATAAATTTCGTCTCGGCAAATAAAACTGTTGTGTAAAAAAAAAAAACGAAGTCACACGTAATTAAAAATTTATTGGAAAAACTCTTCCTTTCGTTAATTTTGTGAGAAAAATATTGCACAGCTAATGATTCACCGAGACGAAAAGTGAAAAGAAGAATGAAACGAACACACTGTCGTGTTTGTTGGATCGAGTTAAAAGACTGGCGCTGATAAGAAATTCGAAGTTTGTCAAGCACGTTAATCTCCTCTATTTATCTCTGAATATCGTATCGACACATGACGTTGTATCACAAATATTGTTAACAAAAAAAAAAAAAAGAACGTGTATTAAAATAATCAATAGAAAGCGAGTATATTTATTATCCGTCGTTATTTTCGTGTCATTTGCACTATGGAACGTGGAAGATTACGTAGATAAAAAAAAAAAAAAAAAAAACGACGTCGCTGATGAAACGAATCAACAGCGAGCTCTCTAATAACCGTCAGCGCGCGCAAGTCATTGAGAAAATAAACTTCGTCGTTGTTCGCAACGATTATTCTCGTATCACCTCTAACGACTCGCGTTTTTTTCGCTGCCCCCGCGAATAAAAATCCCGGGTTAAAGTTGTTTTTTTTTTTTTTTTCACGCGCGGAGGAAACTGCGAATAATTATTCGCACGCAAATGAACAAAACGGCACGTGTTTAAATGACGCGAAGCGCGCGAGCGAAGCGGCGTGCGCGAACGGTCGACGACGGAACGGTACTGGTTTGTCATTGAAGTATACGCGGGAAAGAAACGATACATCGCGAGAGCCTGCTGGAGGAAGGAGCGAAGCTCTCCGGCTGGACAGAGGAGGAAAGAGTATAAAAGAGCAATGTGAGAGCGCAATACGGTAGTGGGGCCTTCTTCTGACATGTTGGGACGGAAGCTATACGGTTTGTTCCGAAGAAAAACGAGCTCGCCTATATAAGCGAGTCTCTCACATTCCACGATACGTGACTGATTACGGGGAAGTCGATATTGCACGCGCGCGCGAAACACCATAGCTTCGTGATATAACGTTAAATCTATTTAACTCTTCCCGAGTCGAAATTTAGCGTCTACATTAAACCTCAATTTGTGAAAAAAGAAAATTTCGGACGTATAGCAGCGTCAAAGTAGCATCTACTTTTTTTCTTACTCCTACTTTGAGCCTATCAGAGCCTGCAATGCACAGTCTGATCTGAGAATTGAACCCTGCTTTAAAACTTTAGCAGGAAAAAAGGAAATTTCGGACGTATAGCAGCGTCAAAGTAGGATCTACTCTCTCTCTTACTCTTATATAAAAAAAGAAAAATTGAGGTTCAATGTAGACGCTAAATTTCGACTCGGGAATTGCACTCGAGACCTTTTTCGCGCGGACGAACCAGCAACTCGAGACGTTTTTCGCAGACGTTTTTTTTTTTGGTGAATTTCTTATACCTCTAACTTAAAATGATTACACATACAAATTAATGTAAAACTTTTATATTTTAACATTTCGTCACTCCCTACGTATATAATCCCGTAACTCCAAAAACTCGCAAATTTTAGAGGAGAGCAGTTTAAAAGTTTGAAGCTTCATATAGTTTCCCTAGTTAAAGGGATCTTTCGGTTTTAAATTTTTACCATACTTATGAATTTTTTTTTTTAATACTTGGTGACCACAAAGAACATGACTTTCTGAGTGTTAATATGCAATAAACTGAAAATCCCATATGTGACACTCATGTAATTATACGTAGGAAGTGACGATTTTGTGTATCTTTACACCTTTACGAAGATAAATAAGTTGCTCTCTCGAGTTGCGGCATCAAATCATGCGGTGAGTGAGAGTCACCTCTCGAGTGCAAAGAGTTAAAGGTTCGAAGAAAGAGAACATTCTTTTGTTACATCATAGTCGAATTTTGTTCTTCCTTCGTGACAACGCGTTTTTTCGAAAACAAAAACCTGAGTACGCTAGGTACGTTTTTTTCTAATGGATTCACCGCGTTTCTCTCCGCGCGCATTTGCACGTTTTTTGCGCCGCACTAATGCAATCCTTTTTGCTCCTCACGCGAGAGTGGGTTGAGCAATCATCGTCTGAATGGGACTTCAACCATTGGCACGGAGCCCGCCGAGAGCTTATCGAGGTCTATTTTCCACGTCTGATTCATACCGCAAGTCGGACATCGATATTGCGCGCGACATGTAGTGCGTGCGTGCGTGCGTGCGTGCGTGCGAAAACGTGCGTACGCGCCCGTCTCTCTCTTGGGTAAATGTCTTTGCCGTGAAGGAAAATAGGAAGACGGTGACGTTAACAGCACCCACTTCTCCTTATTGCCGCAATATAAATTCCTGGTCGATTTACATCGCTCGTATGAAACTTCTGATCTCGGCCGTTCGGTGACGTTTCGGACAACAAGTTCGAAGAGAACAAGATTATGCAACAAAATAAAAAATGAAAAAATATTATATACATATGAAAAGATTATTTAAAAAAAAAAAAACCAAACTTGTTTAAATCTTATTTCTTGACGATATAATTTTATTTTTGCGCAATAATTACGTAATGTTCTAAAGATGTAAGAGATATATGAGCTTTTTCAAACAACAAATGATTTTGCAATTTGTTATTCGACATAGTAAAATAATGGAAACTAACATCGAGATGAAATTTAACACTAGATTTACCAGACCAGTCATTTTGACTGGTCGTGCAATTTCGATTCAAAATTTTTACTGCATGTAACATTTGCTTTCCGAAATGACGTTATGACTTTTGTAGCTATAAGTAGAGAATACATTTTATGAACTTATAAAATGTTACTTTATATATATTCGTAACAAATATATTTTTTGTATTTTTTAATAGGTATATTTAAATAGCTGGTATATCTAGTGTTAACAAAGATTGACGTGCGTTTGAAGAGATTGGCGGATTGAGTGTTACGTGGTAGTGCGCGCCAAAAAAGTTTTTCGACAATAATACAATACTTACTAACGTATTTCTCCCACTGCGCGTGACGTCGAATCGTCGCCAGACGAACCGGTGAAATCGGCGAGACAGCTCTCATCACATCCGCCATTTTTTTACGCGCGTTTTTTTTACAAGAATGTCACTTTCTCTCTACGCGAAGAACGAACGAACAGAGATAACAAACAGAGAATATAACAGCGAGATATTTAAACAAAGTGCTCGACAAAAAAATGAGACGATTTGTACAGTTTTTTTTTATCGACATCAATATCCGAGTCGAAATTTAGCGTCTACATTGAACCTCAATTCTTCTTTTTTTACGTAGGAGTAAGAGAGAAAGTAGATCCTACTTTGACGCTGCTATACGTCCGAAATTTCCTTTTTTTCCTGCTAACGTTTTAAAGTAGGGTTCAATTCTCAGATCAGACTGCGCGTTGCAGGCTCTGATAGGCTCAAAATAGGCTCTGATAGACTCAAAGTAGGAGTAAGAAAAAAAGTAGATGCTACTTTGACGCTGCTATACGCGTCCGAAATTTCCTTTTTTCAAAAATTGAGGTTCAATGACGCTAAATTTCGACTCGGGTATGTTTATCGAACTTCTTCGAATAACAAAGACGAGAAAAGACGAGAGAGAAATACGCGCGAAAGAAAAATCGAGACAATACACAAGAGCGAGAAGAGCGACGATAACAGGTGGCGCGAAACGAGTTGTCGCGCCAAAAATGTTTGTTTTGTCCCGTCGATAACGCCTGTATAATCCCGTCTTTTTGTCCGAAAATTCTCGGCAAATCACACGCGAACTGAAATCCGCCTAAGCCACGTGTTGCGGTCTAACTTGCTGATGGCGAAGATAAAAATAAATCCTCAAATTCAGAGCAGAACCAACGTCTCCGTTTTCTAGCTGGACCGACCGACACCTTAAATTCCAGATCGCACAGCTGCGATCTTCAAACACCGACGATATATTATTCGCGAATACGCGTTTCTCTTCCTGATCGCGACCGTGATCGCGCATCAAGAATGCGTAACGTGTGTACGTACAGTGCGGAGCACCATATCGTGCGCCGTGAGGAGAAGTAGTTCTCCTCCGGCTGCCTCCTACTAGCACGCGCCAGCGACCCGAGATTTAATCCATATGTACCGGCACGGTTACCGATGACACATACCGACGCGGTTACCAATAATACCGA